TGGCTTGGGCAACACAACAAGACCCTATTTTCTTTCATTTTTTTTTTTTTTTTTTTGGTACTGGGGATTGAGCTCAGGACTCTGCACTCACCAGGCCGGCACTTATGCTGCTGAGCTGTTTCCCTGGCCCTGATCACCCTTCCTTCATTATAAACACTCCTTTCTCTCCTCACATCCCTTCATATCTACATTTCCGAATTCACTTTGATAATATTTTTTTATGTTAAAACCTTTAACTCCATTTTCCCTGCTAACTGGCTCATGTCTTATAAAAAGCCAACCTATGAAACTTCCATAGCCTTCTCTGGGCTTATACATAAGTGGATGAACATTAGTGAAAACAGTCATATAATAAGGCATGCTGTTTTCAGTTTAAATTTTACAACCTCCATCTTCAAACTGGAATCTAACACTGCTCAACAACACACTGCTCTACTCTGTCAAGCTTGCAATCTCTATTCGCATTAAGAGGTGTTTCATGCCTACTTCTCCTCACTGAAACTTCCTAATCTTTAATCCATTTTTCTCACTACTAGCTAAAACTTTGCCTTATTAAGCCACTAGACTGGAACTCTCTATTATTCCATTTCAAAATCAGTAAAACTTCCTACACCTGAGTTATCCTGATTTTTAAGTCTTAAAACAGTCAACTTCTTACTTTTTAACAACAGCATTCACCTGTCTTTTTTTACATTATTCTGGAAGTAATAATTTTTTTAATTAAAAAAATCTTTTATTAATCTACTTATTTGGTACAGGGTCTCACTGTGCAGGTCAGACTAATAGTAGTCCTGTCTCAGCCTCCTCAGTGATGAGATTACAGGCATGCGCCACATTGCCCAGTTTTGATGTCCAGCATGGTGGCTCGGCATACGGTACCAGGGATCAAACCTGGCTGGGTCCTTGCATTTGAGGCAGGCACTTAGACTGCTGAGCTCTCTCCCAGCCCCTGGAAGTATTATTTCTTATGTAGTCTTATAATCTATGCTCTAGGTTCTATTTTAATGTTTCCTTAGGGACTATGCTTTATCAATTATCACCAGTTCTTATATTCCATCTTAATTTCTCTTTTCTTCTTCCTTTTATCTATTGTTTCCTTCTTAGGCCTTCCACCCAAACTTTTTTCCTCCAACCCATGTTCTCTTTTCCCTTTCCCCAGGGTATTCATGCTCACTAAACTCCAGTGCAACCACGCCTTTTACCTGATCCGATGTAATCCATCTTCTGCCTACCATGGTTTTTCCCAGCAAAATCTTCTAAAGTGTCCTTGTTGGCAAAGTTAATGGGTATTTTTCAGTACTACATTAACTGATCATCTTGCATCCTTTCGCTGTCTCTAATATCCTCTTTTCCTTTTATGGATTTGGTACAGGCTCTCACTACGCAGCTTGGACTTGCAGTGACCCTCCTGTTTTCAGCCTCCCCAGCGCTGGGATTACAGGTGTTTGCTGCCATGCCTGGACTCAGTGGCCAGCTCAGCGCATTTGCGGGCAGGGCCGGCACGGCATGTGGTGCCGGGGATCGAACCCTGGTCCCTGTGCTTGCCTAAGCTATCTCGCTGGCCCTTACCCTTTTCTTTTTTCCTGTGACCACACACATAGTCAAGTTAGCTGACTACTCTGACTACAGATTTTATATGCTTTAGTTTCTTAATTGCCTCTGATGAAAGTACCAGTAAACAGTGAAAGAGGAGAAGGCAGGAAGCAGAAGAAAGTAAAACAGGAGAGAATAATAATCTGCTGGCCTGTAGAGAATCAAATGCTAACTGAGGAAAACAGACTACCTGAGTGAATACAGACCATAAATTATCACTGATGTTCATTTTACTGATAAAGAAACTTGGGTTTAAATTTCGGTTTGAGGGGCCGGGGAGATGGCTCGGTAGAGTAAGCGCTTGCCTGGCAAGTGCAAGGGCCTGAGTTCAATCCCTGGTTCAACAAAAATAAATAAATAAATTTTGGTTTGATCTGTAGCCATAGTTTTAAAGCCAGATAATCTGGCCGGCCATGCAATAACCCCACAGCTAATTATGGGACCATCCTGCTGCCATCTTTATAATCTGCCCTACCTTTGCATAGGTAACAAGGAGCTACACTTACGTGTTCACTGTGAAACTGCCTATTGTCATCTATTTTAATACAAAGCAGAATGTGTGGTCAAAGTATGTATGGACACGCAAGCGATAAATATGAAGCACCTTTCTTTAAACTGTATTAAAGTAGTAATTTATTGAGTATTTAAATACCCTGGGCATTATCCTTGGCAAAGTGACAATCTGGAATGCAGATTGAAATATTGAAATATTTTTACCTGAAGTACAAGCACATCTAAATACAAGGCCTGGTAACAGCCCTAACTAGAGCTGTCTCTGAACTACTGGCTCTTAAAAAATTTCCTTAGGTAGGGCTGGGGAGCTAGCTCAGCAGCATAAACACCTGCTGGCAAGCACAAGGTCCTAAATTCAACGCCTGGTACCAAAAAATAAAATAAGATGTAGCCTGAGGCATACATGACATAGATTTCACCCTGCCATAGATTTCAGAAAACACAAGTTTATACAATGGTTTTCAATGATATAGGTAAGTGATATAATCTCATTTTCTCTGTTTTTCTTTGAATGGAATTAGTAGTCATCCCATTAGTTAATCTAACAGGATATGGACATGTCCAATCTGTAGCCTGCCATTTTTGGCCCGGTTTTTTTGAATGAAGAATTTTTTTGAGCCATACATAATAGATATTACAGTTAATGTGCATAAGTAACAAAACTGTCTTTGTAAAAATATTTTTATTATAATATTTAAATAAACAAGAGCCAAAATAATGGAAGGGAAAAAAAGGCCATGGCTGGACACACTTGACAGGGAAACTGCTGGGCTCCTCATAAGAAAGGTTACTAAAGGCAACCCCCCAATTTCTGGCATCAGATTCAAACAGGCAATTAGACAGCAGAAAGATATTTAAGCAAGCAGAAAGAAAAAAGTCTTTATTGTATATATTACAAACAAAGATACTTAGATAAAGGCAAAGAATAGTTTAGTTAAAAAAAAAAAAGAAAATAGTAAAGTAACTCAAACAAAGGAGCTAGATATTAGAAAATAACCTTAAGTAAGAGGAAGAGGTTGTTGAGACAGCTTAGCAGAGACAAAAGGCACTGAAGAACAGAGTCATCCATATTCCCACACTGTAAGATAAGGCAGATAAAAAGCCAGTTAAACTATGTACAGATTTTAAAAAGGTAGGGGTAATATCTTGGTTGGCTTGTTTGACCATCAATGACTAGTTACTTTTTCTTTAAGATTGCTTCCTATAGGATATATGCTTAGCTAATGGGACATATTAACATTTTCACCTCAATTTTTTCTCTTTAACAAGTTACCATGTTGTCTTTTCTTTATCAAGGTACTTACTTGTTGATATTAGGGTTATTCTCAATTAGCAAGACAAAAAACAGCTTTCTCACAGAAATGCTATGTAGCAATTTGCGCACTAAAAACTTTATGCTCAGTTGGCAAAGGAATGACACTAATCTCAAAGTTGAATAACGTATCATTACTCTTATTTTTAGCTTTTATTATCTCCTTATATAGGATACAACTAACACGGCAAAGAAAGATAATTGCACAGTATGCTTTGGGCATCTCTCTACTACTTTGTCAAATAACAAGTCACAAACTTGATTTTTCATGCAAGGGGATTTTACTATTGCATTATTTCATAAAAAGTAAATTAAATTATATCATAATAAAAGAACAAAAAAGAACTACCACCACCAGAACTATTTTAAAATTGCCATGTTTTCCATTTTAGACTATTACCTACAATCATGTTAGCTGACATCAGTTCTGTAACACTGACAAAGGCAATTATTTTAGAAATGCCCATACAAGCAGCACATAGTCATCCAAAGTTGAGAACTATGATAAACTGATACATTTAGTAATATGACAGGATTTTTATATTTTACAGAAGATTAAAAATCTCAAAAATTCAGGCATAGGTGAAATTACGAAAATGTAATACAGTAACAATAGGTTTGTTATTCCTTCTATTAAATAAAGGAGAGAAAAAGGCCACTACTTAAAAATGAATATAATAGAAGATCAATACCTTCAATTGATTATTAAATGAATCCATTTCTGACAGCTTAGATGCAGTTTCCTTTTCAAGGGCATCTAATTGTTCTTTAAGTCTTTGGCATAATTCTTCCTTTTCTACTGATTTCTTATGAAGTAAACTAATCCCTGAATCTGAAATACAAACATCAAACAATTTATATCTGACAGATGTTCCATTCAGTTTCATTGCTCTATTCTATTCTTGAGAAATACACATTATTTTAAGTATTAGAAATTTCCTATCTTTTGTTGTGGTTTCTGATAAAGCGTATCTCTCCACCTTAATGTTTTCCTTTTTGAGTCTTGCTCAATCTTACACAATCTCTCTTGTAGACAAATATGTGAAGTATCTTTCCAAGTTTCATTAAAAGAAACCTGAATATAACTGAATAGAAACAAGGGGATCAAGAGAGGGGGGAAAGACATAAAAAAGAATTAAGATGTGTTATGTGTACGACACCCCCCCTCCCCGTGAGGAGCAAAATCATTATTATTGCCAATGTGTACCAATAAAAGTTTTTGAATTCAAAAAAGTATATACATAACTGAATATACTGGATAAATTAGAAAGTTGGCACAGTCACTGGTACATTATAGTATTATTAGCTCACTCAAGAATATAAAACATCTCCATTCAGGTATCTTTTATGTCTATCATTGAAGTTTTATAGCTGTATATTTCTTTTCTATTCATGATAATTAGCATACATATTTTAATAGCAAATTTGATTCATGTAAGCACTGTGTTAGTGAAGTAGAAGACAAAATAGACATGATTTGAGTACTACATGATTGTACCATCTTGAAGAACTACTTAATCTCTCTGAACATCAGTTTTGCTGAGCTGCAAAATGGAAATAATTACATTAAACCGTACTGCAACTATACTTGCAAAGATGAAAGATTGTAATGCCTGAAAACTGTCCAGCATGGTGTATGGCACAAGAGTGTGAGTGCTGAATGACTGTTATGGAGAGAACTAAGAGTTTTGAACTAATAGTGTTTAGACAAGATATCATGTTTGCATCTTGTACTATGAATAACTACTACAAAGACAACAATATGCAATGTATTAATTATTCTGATTTTTTTTTTTTTTTTTTCAGAACCAGGGATTGAACTCAGGCCCTTGCGCTTGCCAGGCAAGCATTTATTCTACTGAGCCATCTCCTTGGCCACTTGTATTAATTATTGTAACTGTCCTACTAACCTGTTTTGAAACTGTCTCGTTGCTACTTCTCAATAAAATATTAAAAAAAAGAGAGAGAGAACTAAGGGACACATGGGATGATTCAAATCTCAAACAAAAGGTTTCTCTTTTTGACCAGGACTACTGTTATATAAATAAGCAAATAAGTAACAACTGAATGGATTGCATCTCACAGAGATATTGTAGAGGTCTACCATGATGCTCTATTTTTACCACTGCACAGACCAGGAGTATGGGCTCTTCCAGTCTCTGGAATGTTTATGGAGGGATGAGTTAGGGAGCTAACACACTTTGACCAGAAAAGAATCAGATGCAAGGAAAACTGCCTCAGAAGATATGTGGCCAGACCCTATCAGTGGATAGTAGCAGACATGAACAGTTCACAAGAGTGAACTTCTTTGCCATTTCTTCAAGGTGCAGAGCCCTTCACTAGCACAACCTTCCTAGCTTCTTTCTACTCTTTCAAAAACAAGTAAGTGAAGATAAGGACCTGAGCCTATACTACCTAGATTCTTCCTCATCCTGCCCACAGGAAATCTGCTTTATGTCTTGTAGGTGCAGTTTTACAGAGATAAAGCATGCTGTCCAAAGTAAGTTTTGCTAATACTGAGGTGGTACTTTGGTTTGTCACCTGTCTTACTGCTTTGCCTTATTTTTCAATTTGTTTCATACAAGAAGGACACTTTATTGGCTCTTCTAAGCAGCCAAACTATATTAAAAAGAGTCTTGGAATGGAAATACTGGCAAGTACTGAAGGATGACATACATTTAGACGCATTAGTCAGGTCTAACACATTCGCAGATTTACTTTTTTTAAACCTTCTGTTGTGCTGTACTGTTACCAGCACTGCTATTTGATATAATTGGTTTTGTAATCACCTGGTTGGAATCTGAGCCATGAAAAATGTTGCATTTCACAAATCACACTGGAATATTTTGTTCCACAGGTGTCAGAGGGCCAAGTTATTAGAGTCTTTGAGTCAGTTAGAGAATAAGAGGGTCTAGGAGGGGCACACAATATGCTTAGTCCTAGCACTGCTGTGCTATCACATGGAATCTCACGCGTAATTCCACTGAGAAGTCTCCTCCTAAGCAGTTCTTTATAATGAGTGCAGGATTTTGGCAAAATGCACAAGTATCTCATGTTAGAGTCAAATTTAGATCTTATTTAGTTGTGGTGTAATATTTTATTTGGCTGCTTTTGATAATAGAAATATCGAAATAAAGGAAAGTGTACCACAATTACTATTTATATTCTAACATCTGTTGTATTTTTCACACTATTTTGTAATTTTTAACTTAAAGCCCCTAAAAATTCTTTATAAAAGAATAATGCTGTTTTTTTTCAAAACTAAGAGAATACAATTGATCCAGTCATTAAGAAAAGAATGACGGAGAACAAAACAGACTTACCAGGTGTGTTATTCAGCTGCATGTTTTTAATTCTTTCATTTAATAATTGCTTCTCAGGTACCAAATAAATAAGCTTATTTTGATATTCCTTATTTAAAAAAAAAACAAAACAATATCTGGTTAAAACTGTAATGTCCAAGAAATTTTTGGAAAATTTTAAAACATGATTTAATATATTCTCGCTGGCTTGTACCACTGGTAGTACAAAAGGAACAAATCATTTTATCAGTCTTTTTACTACTAAAATTAATAAAACACTGCCAAGTGGGATAGTCATTCATGTACCACCAATGGCTGAAGCATCCTGGCAGCAAGACATATAAATTATAGCAGCATTGTGAACATGTTATTTAATTTTGGGACAGAATTTTACACTGTAGTTCAGGATGGCCTCAACTCACAGCGACCCTCCTGCCTCAGCCTCTTGAGTGCTGTGATTACAAGTGTGTCATCACCATGCCAGGCAGTGTTATTCATTTTTAAAGCTTAGTAGAGGAATAACTGGTAATTGTAAAATGCTTCTAACTTACGACTAACCCAAAAAGAGAAGTGTGCAGGAATTAAAAAGCAAATGTTTAAACATCATGAGTAACTGGCTGAAATTAAAAGGCAGTGAAGAAAGTTTTTATGAGAAGGCTAGGTCCCAAGGTTAATAATTTTCAGTGTTCTAATATATACAGTGGGCAAAGGATAAGAGATGTCTCTGGTAACTGCATTAGAGCATGTGTGGAGTTAAGCAGGCCGTTCTGGAATCAAAGAAGGACTAAAAACTCAGGAAGAACTAGGGAAGTAAATGTAAAGTAGCCAGGAATGTTTTTGGCTTTTGGCTGTGACAAAAGGAAGACTGTCAGCCTAGACAGTCTGAGAAACTGAGAAAGAGGAGCCTAGAGACGCAGCATGCCTCTAGTGGCCCTATTCTGCAAACAACAATTGAAGCAGACTCTAATGCACTACAGCAGAATTATCAGGCCTGAGGGACATACTCAACCTCTCACCATAATTCTGCAAATAACTTTCATGAAATTTCCTAAAAGTTCCAATAACTTTATTTATTTTTTTATTTAGTACAGGGTCTACAGGGTCTCACTACATAGACAGCACTCACAGTGATTCTCCTGTTTTCAGCCTCCCAAGTGCTGGGGTTACAGGCGTATGCCACCATGCCCAGTCTCCAGCACTGTCTCAGTGCGCCCTGCAGGCAGGGTCAGCACAGCCAATAACTTTATTCTGATACATGTTACATTCTAAATGTTGATGTCCACCTAAAATTCATGCTGCTACCCAACTCCCAATGTAAGTGTTAAGAGGCAGGGCTTCAGGAGACAATTACATCATGAGGGTTCTTCCCTGATGATGAGCCAGGATTAGGGCCCTGTTCCTCTCACCATGAAAAGGTGCAAGAAACAGCAGCCATCTTTGAAGCAGAGAGCAAGCCCTCACCCAACAGTGAATCTGCTGGTGTCCTGATCTTCAAATTTCTAACCTCCAAAACTGTATGCAATAAATGTTTGTTGTTTATAAATTATACAGTATAAGGTAGTCTGTGACAGTCACAAGAATGGACTAAGACAAATACATAAATATATTTTTAGAGTTAAAACTCACAATGATAAATACATGACATCTAGGAGAGCTTTAGGAGGCCTGTGGACTTTCTGGTACTATGTACAAAGTTATGTGCATTTGGATCATAGGTCTTTAGAACCAGAGCATTTCATGATTCCTGAAGTATAACTATCCTATCAGGATGAACTTGAAAAACTGCACTTTTAAGGACAAGTACCGGCAAAGGATTTACCTGAAGTTCTTGCTGAAGCTGCTTGATTTCCATAATTTCCAGGTCGCACTGCTTATCCAGAACTTCCAGCTCAGTCTTTTGTGTTTGCTTTCTGAGTCGGACATCTTGTAACCTGCCTGAGATCTGCTGGTGTTTGCCATTCTGTGGAAGGATTACATAAACGTATGGTTATGTCATGTGTTAACAGAAAATCTTCCTACCAAGAGAAAAATATCTTCATTTAAATATTACTTATCATTCATACTCAGCCTGAAATGTCTAAAACCATGTCAAATATGTTTCAGAGTTACGCCTCTTAAGAGCACTATTAGCAGAAAAGATGCTCAGAGTGGAAGAGCCCATATTTTACAATGGGAAAGTAAGAATATAAAACACTGAGTTTTCTCCCCTAGAATTCAGCATTCGGGCATTTACATAAGAAACAATTTCAAAAAATAATGACAAAAAATGATGCATGTGACATTTAGTATTACTAAATTTCTGTAAATACCCACCTCCACCTTCAATGTTATTTTTTTTCCTCAATCAGATTTTATCAGTACGTTTTAGATATAATGATCACATGCATCATAGAGAATTTGCACCTTTACATGATGTAACTTGGTATTTTTTTTCCATTCCCCCTGTCAGCCCCCCCTCCCCATTTACAAAAGCTGTGTTTCCATGTTTTCTCAAAGTTACTTTTTAATTTCCCATTATTAAACAGTAATCCATGTGGGCCTTTTTAGCAATAATTTCCTTCTACACTTGGACTTTTTTTCTTCAAGCAAGGGGTACCCATTTTTTCCTTATTTTTCAGAAGAAGGAGTTAAAAACAGAAAGCAGACATTCTCATTAAAGCCTAAGAAGATGGATGAGGTGGGATGTCAGGATTGAATTGTGTTGCCCTTGCAAAAATGTTTATGTTGAAGAGCTAACCCTTGGTACCTCAGAATGTGACCAAAACTAGAGCAGAGCTTTAAAGAGATAATTAGGGTCAAATGAGGTTACACAGGTGAACCCTAATCCAATCTCACCAGATTCCAAGAACAGAAAGTCTAGACACACAAGACACCAAAGATGCACATGCACAGAGAAAAGACCACATGAGGACACAGGAATAAGGCAGCCACCGGCAAGGTGAAGGAGGAGGAGCCTCACAAGAAAACCTATGGAACTCTGCCCTCTGAGACAGTGGAAAAAGAAACTTCTATTGCTCAACCTGTACCAACCTATGGTATTTAGTTAAGGCAGCCTTAGCAAACTAATACAATATGGTGATGAGGAGACCCCTGCTTAATAATCACTGATACTGAAATTTCTACTGACCAGCATGTTTCACATCTGAAAAACATACTAAAAGGAATATGCTATATCAGTCCTAGCGCTCAGATCACTGTCTTCAACATGGATGAGTTCAGGCTCTGGACCTTTCCAGACTGCCCATTCACCTGTTATTGGGCTTGGTGTGTTATCCCAATTCTTAAGGAAAAAAACAATCAATGTGAAGGTCTCATCAAACTATATTTTTAAGGAAAAAATACAGTTAAGGTGATGGTTCACGCAGGTATCCAAGTAGCATAAAGAAGTTAAAGTTTTAGGCCTCTTTTGTAGTACTATGACATCACTAATAATTATGATATGTATGCCTATTTGAAGACTTCTCTGATTAAAGGTATTAAGATAATTTAAAAATAATTTTATGATGTAATTAAGGTCAATCAAATAAGGGCTGGCCAAATAGCTTAGTGGATTAAAGCGCCTGCAAGCAGGCACCAGGGCGACCTGCCATGTCAGGTCCCGCCTCCGGGACACACTGAGACAGCGATTGAGCCTGGGTATGGTGGCCCGCGCCTGTAATCCCAGCTCTTGGGAGGCTGTAAACAGGCGGGAGTCTGAGCTAGTAGTGAGACCCTGAACACCCTGTAGACCCTTCCCTAAAAAATACAAAATACAAAAATACAAAAATAAAATAAAATAAAGTCAACCAAAGAATATTCCACTGCAATTGAATAAGATTTAAATTTAAGATGGGTGTCTTGGCACTGTCTTTAATCCCAGTACTCAACAGACTGAGACAGGAGGGTGGCCATGAGTTCGAGGGTAGCCTGGATACAACATGTGTTTAAGGCCAATCTGTACTACAAAGCAAGACTCTGCTTCAAAAAATAAAACAAATATTTAAATTTGGTTCTACCACATAGTCAGACATGCACTTTTGCAAAATTCTATACTACTATTAGGTCAGGTCAGGTTTACAAGATTGTAAAATTGCAGTAAAACGGTTCCAAACCTTTTTATCTTCTCACCTTGCATTTCAAGCAAAGTTCAGTGAGCAAAAACTGGTAAGTAGAGCTGTTAGTGGACACTAAGGTTTGTTTGCTTGATGCTGATCAAATGGTTTGGGACATTTGTTTTATAATTTTATACAAAGTTAGCTGCCAGACGATTAAGGGCCGGGGTCCATGTGCTTCAAATCAACATCTTAACTGCGTAGTTTTACAGAATGGAGGGTGGGGCAAGGAAGACAATGAGACAACTCACAGTCAGGCTTGTTCTGCCCCTTTTGGGACCCCTCCCTCCCTTGCCTAAGGAATGAAATGGGGATGAACCTCCTGGTGCAGCACAGGTACATCTGGTCCATTCCCCTTAGCTGAGGTGAGGTGAGTGCAGATGTTGATGCTGCAAGTCTAAGAAGTTTGAAGAAGCTACTTGTCTCTCAGGGAAAAAAAAAATCTGATTTTTATAGTTGCATTTTGAGGCTATATCATATCAAATATGAGCTAAAACCTAGAGTCCTGCAGAACTGAAAGGAATTGTAAGGAAGTATTTAGATAATTAGTTTTAAATCCTTTTTCTTTTGAATAGGAAAGTCCTTTTTTTTAATCCAAGCAAATTTTAGAATAAATCTCAACAAAAAATAAAGCAGATAAATGTGGAGCTGTATGTTGTAAAGTGTCCTCTGCAGACTGTCTTCCAGAGACTGCTTTAAAAATAGAAATTTATTGAATTAGCACACCTTCATTTTATATGTAGGCAAAGTAACAAGTAGTGCACATGGCCATCAGCACCTGGAGTGAGACAAAAACATAGCTCTTTGTGCTTTAGTCTCTAGCCTTTTCCAGCAAACTATACTGCCAGTCTGTTCAAAAGCACAACTAAAGCCAGGCGTGGCAGTGTACAGCTGTGACCCCAGCCTTGAGAGGCTGAGGCAGTTAATTACATTAAAACATTTACTTATGACATAGATTTGAAAAATAATAGCATTTTTCAGCAAGCAACTCCAGCATTATTCAGATAAACTTCACTTAAACTCTGGCCATACCAGTGCTTCCAACTCAAGGTGAAGACTCTTCTTTTTAGAGTTTAACCTGATAATTTCTTCTTGTTCTCTATTCTTTTGATTGAGAAGCTCCTGTCGACGAATTCTCTCCCATTCTAAACGACGTTGTCGTTCAAGTTCCTGTTTTGCTGCCTGAAGATAATGAATTACAGTTAATTTGAAATTAGGAATTATTACTGTAACAACATGTAACTCAGTTGTGCTCCAAATTTTCTGATCAAGGTGATTATGGAGCCACAGAGGAATGTGTTCGATGATGTAAAGTGAGCCTGGGGAGAGTCACATGGAGAAAAAAATTTTTCTCAAGCTTTCACAGAGAG